GGTAGTCGTAGTCGGGGGTGTCCTCGAAACCGAGATTCCGTACATAGGTCAAGTACTTGTTGAACTCATCGGGAAATCCTTCGCAGAGGTCCTTGATAGGGGTGGTCTGCTTCTTCTCACCAATCTTCTCGTACTTCTGCTTGTTTGTTGCAGCCTTCAGTCCTTGCCAGGGAAGACCGCCACGAAGGAAGTACATAAAGACGTGACCGAGAGCCTCGAGATCATCACGGCGGGATTGTTCACGACCGAGATGGGTGTTGATACTCATGTATCGGGCGGTACCGGACAGCGACTTTCGCTCTCTGTAAGGGATGTGCTGCTTCGTCTTAGGATCGCGGTACTGCTTGGCCATGCCGAAATCGACAACGTGAATCACGTTGGCGGCTTTGGTGCCCGGTCTGCCGATCAGGAAGTTGTCGGGCTTGATGTCACGGTAGATGAGGTTCTTCTCGTGAATGGTTTGCACTCTCGACAGCTGTATCATTCGTTAATCGATTGACATTATGATAAGGCTGGCCGTAACTCACCATCTGCTTGGCAACCATGACGACAGTCTTGATGGTGAACCTTCGGCCGCAGTGGTCGAAGAGATCCTCAAGGGAGGGACCAAGAAGGTCGATCACGAGGATGTTGTGCAGACCCTCCTGTCCGAAGTAGTAGACGTTGGGAATGCCAGCTTCAAAACAGTCAGTAATGCCATCGAGCGAAAGATTGTGGTATGGACATACGGCATCCGACGAGAATCTTGTACGTCCGGTACTCATCTCGCAATTGAGGTGCGTCGCTTTTACGCGGCTCCTACGACGAGAGAGAATATTAGCACGATGTTGAAGCAATGTTGAGCGACCGCGACACCCTTGAACGACGCGGTATCTGATTGAGTGAAGTCGGCGACGTACAAATTTGATGGCGACCTGTTGGTTATTCAGGAGGTTGGTGCCCTCGAAAATGACACCGAAAGATCCCTCTCCTATCTTCTTTCCCACACGGTAGTGCACGCCGACGACGTTGCTCGATGAGGAAGCCATTGCGTCGAAGGCCTACGTCCTCTTACGGACCGTAGTGTCGGGGCAAAGGCAGGGCCTGGATGCTCGGTTCAATCGTGTCGGTTGTCGGTCGAGGCGGTCTGATGGAGTCGATCGGGGGTTGGTGTATGAAGGTGGGAAAAAAATATGGACGATATGTCTAAAAGGACGATGAGGGTCGCAGGTCAGCTAGCTGCTCGTTATCCCGATGCCCATTTGAGCTGACTTGGTTTCGGGGAGGCGAAATCAGGCCGAGAGGACGGGAAGGGGGTGGTTGCGTGGTTGTGGTTGCTTGGAAGAGGATTTCAGGAAAGGAAAGGATGAATGGGGGGGACTGGGAGAGAATGGATGGAAATTTGGGGCAAGTGGACGGATGGCAGCCGCAGACGAGTGATTTCAGTGGGTAATCCGCCCCCCGGACCACATGCACTGCACGGGGAGTGCGAAGCAGCTGGCGGGAAAAGGATGGGCTGGACCGGGCTGGGCTGCTGGGCTTGGGGCTTCCCAGGGCTGTTACTGGCAGGTAGCCGCTGGGTACGGAGTGAGGTGAGGTGGTAGGTAACTGGTTGAGGAGCAACTTGGGGTGGTGCCGGAGCCTGGAGGTGCAGTGCAGATGGAGCGAAGAGGGAGACGGGAGGGAGTTGGGTACGGGTACGCAGCACGGAGTACACTAAGGTACTCTGCAGCAGAAAAGAAATAAAAACAAAATAAAAATATTGAGTTGAGGTGGTGCCGTTGGTGGTGCCTCCACAGGCATGTTGCTGCTGTTGTGCTGTGCAAGCCAGCGCCCAGCGAAATTGTTGGCTCGGTGCCGGGCCGGTCTCTCTCTGTCTCTCTCCCTCTCACACACACACACACACCCACACAGAGCAACACTCACCACGCACCACACCACAGTATACACACACGCACGCGCGCGCGCAAGACCAGTACACGAATCGCCTAGCCTTGGCCTGAGGCCGAAGCTGAGGGCAAGAGAGAAGGGGCGCGGGAGAATGAGGGTACGGACACAGGCGGTGATGGTCCAGGCAAGGGTGCATTGTGCAATGTGCAGGGGGTAATCCGATCGGGTGTTGCTTGTGCAGAGGCGTCCATAGGTTCGTTGGATGCCGCCTTGTGCTGTGCAGCAGCGGGTGGGCTCTCATCACAGCCTCCCTGTTTTCTTACTCACCTAGGATCTGGATGTTCCTGTTTCTGCCTTTGGGCTGAGATCAACCTATTCCTGTCCTGCTCTATTCGCAGGCTCTCCTCTCTGTCGGTGCTGCTGATTTGATTTCTTGTCGTGGGCAGACTGCCTAATCTAATGCTTTAATTCGTCCGTTGTTGTTGGAATGTCTTGTCTCGGGGGGCGACAGCAGGGAGGCGGTGCGAAGGCTGAGTCGTATCTCGCCGTTGTCGGATTGCGCCGGTGAATCGTCTCCGATCGAGGCTTGTCGAGGCGAAGAGGAGCGCGACTAGGAGGGAAGGAAAGGGGAAGGAAAGAAGAAGGAGAGGAAGATAGAGAAAAAGAGGGAGAGATAGATCGAGAAAGGTGAGATGCTACTCCGTATTCCGTGCAGCCGGTGTCGTCAACGGTCCAGGTGAAATTACAAGCGACGCCTCAACCTCTCAATAACTCAACCTGCCTTGCAACGCTCACCGTGGCCCACACTTCACATTCAATGAACGATGGGGGGTCAGATCAGTTCTGGGTTCAAGGTCCAGGTCCCAAGTCCAGTTTCCAGGATTGGTAAAGTGAGCAACGACGGTCGAAGGGGGGGAAGCGAGAAAAAAAGAGCCACGAACGACGAACGTGTGGGCGGCTGTCTGTCGAGGGGGTAGGGAATGGATCTATGGTCTAATTTCAACAGACGAGGGGCCCGGCGCCGAAAGACACGGTGAGTGGAAGAGGACTTTCGGAATCTTGGAACAACTCGGAGAAGAAGATTGGGAGATTGGTAGATTGGGAGCATAAACACAAACGGGCTTTCGCGACAACCTAACATATCGATCATCAAACGCAGGACAAGCTACAGAGCGCTCGACTTCGGATTGGTCCAGATTGCAAATGGCATGAGAGCTGTACGGCCGCTCCGAGCTGCCTCCCGGCCTCCCTCCGGCATGTCTAGTATTTGTTCCGTACAGATTGTGAAGGGTTACGGATAGAAATAAGGTATCTCTGAATGTCCGTCAGATCGGTGGTACGTATCTGGATAAATCCGAATACTGGTTGAATAGGGTACCTGAGGAAGACGGTTACGAAAGGGAAAGCACTGAGCAACTGGCCCTGCCTTCCCTTTTTGCCAAGGTACCTGACCGGCTTGAGCATCGTGAACGGACACCGACACCAACAAAATCAAGCACAGACCAGCCGATGGCAATGGCGTGTCACCTCACAAAGGGGAAGACGGCGACTAGTGCCTGATTACTGAGGTTCTAGACGCAAAAGAGGTGGAGGTATTCTGTACGTGGACGGATACATCCCAAGATACTTGTCGTGGAGGGAAGGTACCTTTACCCTGCCTTACCGACAGCTCTGGCGGACCTAGCAACCTGACCATTCGAGGTGGATTTCCCTCTGTCAAGGCCAAGGGCAGGAACGGCCTGGCAGGCCGGTACCTGTCGTCAACCCAATCTCCCACCAATTTCCCATGTACCGGAGTCAACTTCTGTTTTGGGGTCTACCGTCTACCGTCTACTAAACCGTAACCTGGTCTGCCCCTCTCAGTCGGCTCCAATTCGCAGTACATACCATCCAACACCTTCCCTCTCTCCCAACTGTTCGTTGCCCGTATCCTCTTTTTTACCACCTATATGACCTTGCTCGAGAACCCACGCCGTATTCGTCTCTTCTCGTCTCGTCTCGTCCCAATCTCGAAGGAAAACGAACTCCTCTTCATTGCACCTCAAGATAGGAGATCTGAACTAGTACGGAACTCCGGCGTCCGCCCTCTGCATCCATTCTCATCTGAACTCCAGCCACCCGTGGCCCGTCGTCTGTCTGTCAGGCATCTGTACAGATATTCTGCCTGTCGGCCCCGCCATTCACTCTCAGTCTCTGTGCTGAGCTGTGCGGTGCCATGCGGTGCCGTGCCGTAGGTGTTCTACGAGCGAACGACCACGGGAGAGAGACACAGACGCTATACCGCGGGCAAGGGTCATGGCAGAGACCAGCGGATAGTCCACCCAACGATAGGTACGCCAGGGGAACCGGGGACACACGCTCGCGCCTATCTCGTCCAGGATGTTGCATGTTCCTTTGCCCGTAGGCATTGCGGCAATCCCAAGCCAAGCCAAGCCCAAACAGCAGTAGAAAGTCGCGCTAGAAACGACCCTAGAAAACACACGGCGTATGCCCTGTGCGGGGATCGAGGTCCGCTGACGGCCTAGTCTGCGTCCGCCGCATATCTCGCTTTGTCCCCGTGAAGGAGGAATTTCATATCCTAGCCACAACAGGCCTTGCTCTTCACTTTCCATCGGCCGACGACCCCTTTCAAGGGAGCCTGGAAACCTCCAAACAAGGGGCAACGACCAAGTCTGAGATATGTCTGACTGGGAGACGACGGATATGGCTCATCGCCCGTTGATGTCCAATTCAGTCTTCACACAGTCGGCATTGTCTACGCAAGCGCATCAGGCGAAGACACTCGACACACCCTGAATCGTGTTGATTCCCACATTCCACATTTCAAAACGTGTACATCGGTTGCTTGTCGGCAATTGAGAGCGTCCTTCGAGAAAAAAATGACGAGACATATCGATACTTGGTACTATTCCCACGACGGCATCTATTCAACACAAGGCTGTACCTTACTCATGGCAGCCGCTTTATTCTTGGCGGTTGGCATACATGGTGGTACGCTCGACGACATGTTCGCGCGTCCCACATGGCATAAATGTGTATTTCCCTGCAAACCATCACAATGACCATTTCAATCCTGCGAAAATTCTCTTCCTCGGCAAAGGCATAACAGCATAAACTGTGGCCCAAGCACCATGCCGCTAGCCCATTCAGAGCATCCAATGGCACGCCGTTAGTCGCCTGTTCAACGGAGAAGAAGAAAAAAGGCTTGAGAAGGTTGAAAAATGGAGGATCACCAACACGAACCCACGCGTATGTACCCGTTGCAGGTGCTGGAGGCGCCGCCGTCCAATTGCCATTCTTCCTGCAGCAGAACCTTGCCCGTACCGGCTTGGACCTGCAGCGGCGCTACAGTCCGGCTCGTTTTATCCCCCACCGCCGCGATGCCGCCCGAGATGCGGTGAAAGACCGCCCCGCTCCGTTCCATGTGGGAAGTCAACCAACAAATGCCTCCTCACGCGGCAACCGGCTGGGATACCGCTTCTGCTTGCCATTCGATACGGACTGCCTCCTCTCAACGCTGCCTGTCGTGCTATCGTGCCCATCATCCGATGTATACACTACTCCCGTCACCATTCAACATGGCTCACCAGCCAGCCAACCATCCGCGCTCTCTCCGCCTTACGGTTTCACCTTTCTCCCGTACATCCCCGTCAGCTGGCCCTCCGACCCGTCAGACATATTCTCCAACGTTCGAATGAAACGCTGACCCATCCAGCACTCCTCTAGAGTCTCAACTACGAACAGGCCTCCCCGCGTTCATCTTGGGCCCGTCATCCAATGAATAACTACCATCAGGCCGTCTAGACCGCAACATAGCTCTCGTCTAGCCGGTGACAGTCACAGGGTAGACGCATTCACTAAAACCAAAAACCCCGTTGGAACACACGTTGGACCTGACGGCGTTCCAGCTTCTGTGGTCATTGTCCTTTTCGTTTCTAATCGGGCGAGTCGAAGCTAACAGTATTTCCTGAACCAAGATTTCACGGCTAGTCATCCAGCAGGTATACGGCGAATCAGATTCTCGACACGCCTTAGAGTTCGTAAGTCATGTCTCAAGACAAAGGCCCGCCTCTGTAAGCAAGCAATGCCAGGATAGTGTGGCTCGCTTTCCTCGGCACGCTGTGGCTTGCGCACTCTCCACGTGAATGACGTTGGAGGACTCCAGCCATTGCTTGCTGGGCGCTCGACGCTCGTTATCATTAGATATCATTTGGGACGACGACGACCGGGACGGCATGAATCGTGGCTTGGCCAGAGTTGTCGGACGGTAACTTACCCCTCCAGCGGGCAGGCATCACTTCCTCCAAGATGCGTGGCCAGAGGGTGTGAAGGTTGACTCTATCTCTTTTCGTTTCTCAAACAAGATCTTGGCACAAGTCTAATTGCGAGTGCGAGCCGCGGGAGCCAATGCCGCCCAGGGCATGTTTGTTGTCTCGACTTTTTGACCACAGTGGATACCTTATACTCCAGACCTGCGAGCAGACCTGCTCCAAACTTTTGCGGCGAGAAAGAAAAGCTGTTTAGGTGGGATTGTAATAGGTGAGGTGGTTGATCGGCATACCTCTGGATTGATCGCCGTGGATGCCGTGGATAGCTTGCTGTAAATTTGGAAAAGCAGGATCCCTGTGCAGAATGGGAGTACCTTACGTCGCCTCTTCCTTTGGAGACCTTTTTCCACACGAGGCCGTGGATCGGCGTGGCTCAAATGCTGGCAAAACTTTCCCCCCGCCTTGGCCAGTGCTTCCTCTCCCAGTGGTCTCCCGGTTACACGAGAAGGAGAATAAAAGAAAGAGACTCCGGGAGAGTATCACCTAGAGTAGACGGGAAAAGGCGGGCGCGTCGCGCGTGTCGTCGTCGTCGTCGTACGCCGCGTTGTTTTGCTTTGCTCTGCTTTGTCTCCGATGTTGCACTCTTTGTCCATGTAAGTTGGGGCGCCGCCGGGCGTCGCGCGCCGAGCGGGTGGCGAATGTGTAGTTTATATACCACGCGATATGTCGTGGGAGTTATATGTATACGTGCGTTTTGACGACGACGTCGGCGACTATGTGAAACGTCTGCTTTCAAAGAGTCAGAGAAAGGGGGGGGAAAGAGAAAAAAAAAAAGAAACGAAGAGGGAGAAAAACAGGGAAGAAGAACAATAGTAGCATGGGACAACGAGAATACATCATCGTGGAAACGCAATCAAGTGTCTCATGCACCAGTATAGAGTAAAGTACTGGATAGATTGAACGATATCTCTCTGAGATTGTAAATTCACGGAGCTTTGAAACATGTTGTATAGTGTTTAGTCTTGTCACAAATGCTCGAGGAAAAGCTCTACCCAACACTAGTGCCAAGTCCGATCACGCACCCTCTCGTTTTGCAGCTATCACCAGAGCACGGCATCTCGGAACAGATTGCTGTCATGACAAAGCCAGAACTTCTCGAAAACCTCACACCTGTGCCAAAGTTTCATGGCAAAGGCCAATTCACTAGCATTGCAAAAGTCATGATGGAGGAACAACATATCGAAATAAGAGTGGCAGGCCCTCCCTAATCGTGTATTTTATCTGTAATCTGAATCGTCGTGTTGCTTGCTGGCAGCTTCTGTCTGCATCAACCTCTTTCTTTTTTATGCCCCGCCTCTCTCATGCCTTTCCCAATTCGTTATTGATGTGTAGAAGAATAAAGGGGAGCCTTGGTGCCGTGGCACATCTGTTAAGGCTCATGAAAAGGAAAGTCAAAAAACACCAATGCCTCAGCCTCGTCGAGAGCTGTTAAAGTTACACCCAGAACCAGACTTCCCAAAAGCCCCCAGTACTAAAGAAATGATCCTCGTGTATGAGTGATGCTGCATGACCCCGTGACTTCCCTGGAATCTAGACTCAGAATAAGGACCCCCACCCGGCGCCGAACTTGGAGTTCTTTGACGAGAGGCTCGATCCAGACGAGTAGAGAACACCATCTTGTTGCCGAAATGCCTCCACATCCTAATGCAGACCGTTCGCCTTACCATTCGTCTGCAGGTCCGGAATGTCCTCCGTGGCAGCCCGAGTAGCCTCATCCACACTATCCGCAACTAACGTCTCGGCAGACTCGGCCGTTGTGCGAGTCCATTCCTCCAGACGTGCCTTGTCGATGTATTTGCGCAGTACCGAGTCTTCCCACTTCATTGCATCCAGGAGCTTATCCCGGTAAGACTTTTCCCAGCTAGCCCAGCGGGCGTCGAGGTCGTCCACGAATGCTCCCAACGCGTCGGAAGGCCTCGTTGGTTGGAAAGGCTCGTCAATTCTCTCTGTTTGGTAGTTAGCAACTGGCTTCGTGAGAGCGACTTGGTGGTACCCACGTTTTTGGTAGCAGGAAATGAAAGCACTGAAGAGCGTAGTCCGGGTTAACTTCTCTCCAACGAACGAATCGTCCTTCAACTGCGTATCGTTGAGCTTTGTCCAATCATCGCGGATGAAGCAGCGTCTCCAGATCAAACGCTTGGCCATCTTCGACTCCTCGCCCTTGAGTCCCAGTGAAGCAGCCTCAAGAGCCAGATAGAAGGGATCATCAATGTCGGCGACCGTCTCACCCGGCAGATGAACGAGAGTGAGTAGGTCAATGAGAGACATGGCATCAAGAGCCTCGTGCTTAAGGAGCCTTCTCATGCTGCTCTCGAAGACTTGGATCAATGCCTTTTGTTTCTTTGGGATGTGAAGACAGTGATTTTCCATGGCAAGTTGCAGTTCAGCGCTTTCATCTACAGCCATCTGAACAGAAGGGAAGATCTGGGCGTAGAGCTGATCCTGAATTTTGATGAGATGAAGTTGATCGTCGATGATCTCAATCTTCTCGTCGGATGTTCCCTCAACCTCCACGTTGGCTTGCTTGAAGCCGAAGAGATCAGATGGGGCAGGCTTCTCAGATTCAGCTAGCAAAGCTAGCTTTCCGAGACTAAGTTCAATCTTCTTGTTCCAGACCTGCTGCTCACGGGTAATACCGAGGTCGAAAAGAGTCTCCGCCGCATGCCCAATGTCACGCTCACGCTGGATGTCGTTGATCCACGAAATCTTGGCGAGTTCAGGTTTGGTGCGTAGGAAATTTGTTCTGTATCCATGGTTGTCGTGACTGAAGTCCAATACGGCCTGGACACCAGCATTGTCGAGCAGAATGTCGTACGTGGGGAACGCAAAGGCCTCGCCATACTTGTCAAAGTACACACCGATTTGCTTCTCTTTCAGCTCCGCTTGCTTAGTGAGTTCGCGAGCATCGACTTGTGATCTTGACACTGTCGCTTCACTTCTGAGACTGTTGATCTGCTCGATCATAGCCAAAGCAAGGGCTCTCCAGCACCGGTGCTTCTCGGCAATGTTGATACTCTCATCCCACTTGCCGAGACGGAGAAGGGAGAGAACCTTGTCGTTTCGGTCCGAATCGTAGAGCTTGGAGAGATGCTCTGACCACTTCTGCGCCTTTGCGTCTTGTTGTACAGCATTCCATCGAGATGCCTCGAGCAATGACACGAGGTACAGATCGCTCAGATTGGCAATTTCTGAGTTGATCTTCTCCAGGAGCGCAGGATCCGGCTGCTTCGTCTTGTCCTTGGTCTTCTCCTTGGGAGGGTAGTATTGATCAAGCCACGTGTGACTGAGCTCAAGAAGCCGCTTCAAGTTGTTGCAAATGTAGTGACATCCGGTCCAGGGTTCAGCGAGACCATCGTAATTGTCGCGCAAGATGCCGAATTGCAGCTCTTCGTCTTCGAGTCCGTAGAATGAGAGCTTCTTTTGCCGGTACTCCAGCGCCGTCATGAAAGCGACCAGATTCACTTGCTGGGCCTCGTACATGAGCCGAGTGATTTTAGCATCGTCCATGATGTGGTCTTTGTACATGTACTTGATCACTTCATAGGCCCACGCGATAAAGATCTCGAGCTTGCCAACGTCATGCACGAACCAGTGCCTGACGCGATCGACTTCCCCTGCGCTGCGGTTCGGGTTCGTCTTTTCGTCTTGGTGAATGAACTCGACAATCTCAGCAATCAGGTCCTTCTTGTCGTTCGCAGGTCGCTCGTTCGTAAAAGCCTCGTGACGCTTCCACAGAACTGTTGCCACCATCATCTTCTCGGCATGCGAGAGTAGAAGCCAGCGGGTACGACGGTCCAGCTTGACCTTTGTTATCTTGAGGTGAGACATCAACCGATCGAGGGCCTGACAGCGAGTGCTAAGATTGTCTTCCAAAGATGCGGGCAGACTTGAAATGTGCGATGTCGCTGAACTCATGATCTCGTGGCTGAGTTGCAACGCAGCTTCAGACACCTCCTCATCCGAAAATTGCACCCCCTTCCTTCCGTCGAAAATCAAGGGGGTATCTTGCTTGTTCCCAAAAAAGACAGCTTGCTCTAGCTTGCTCTTTGGCGTGACTTTGGGAGGTTGGTCACTGCCAAATTTGTCTATATCTGTTGTTGTGAGTCGCACGATACCAGTACCGCGGACCATGAGAACGACTGCTGGGTTCTTCGTCTTCTGGCGGCTTCTTGACTCCTCATGACCAGTATTAGCGGTCTGAGGCTCTTCAAAGCCAGATCCCAAGATCTCTGGCTGATTGTTGTCCGAAAGAGTGATGACATCTTCGTAGGTGGGAGGAATAATGTGGTTATCTTCTTGGAGCTGAGCGTCTGGTGATTCCGGAGGGTTGCCGATGGATGCCACAACTACAGCCTTGTCGAAAACGACGAAAGCTACA